TGTTCTGGAGTCAAAGCGAGCTTTTCCTGAAGCAGTTCTACGTGTCTGACATCAACCAGCAAGTACAATTTCAGGTAATCAGTGCCAGCAAGGCTGTCACAAGAAATGAGAATGCTTCAAAAATATTTGTTCAAACTAAAATGCAAGTTGTTTCAGAAACATTCTGAATAATAATTGTGGTATAAAATTTCCATGATGTTATATACAAAGTGTGCAGAGCATTTAACAGTAATAGGGAAAAAGAAAGCTAAATAAAAGACTGACTGCAATCAAGGAAAGTTTGTTAACTTAAGAACCTAGTGATAAATCAATAATGTACATCATTTAAAGTCTGGGTTTTCTTCATCTAGACCTTCTTAACCTTTTTTTTGAGTCACAGACCCCTTTAAGAATATGATGAGAGCTATGGACCCCTTACCCGGAAATATTCACATAAACATAACTTTGCATGCCTATGAATATATGTACTTTATTTTATTGACATTCAATTGCCTTGTACATATATGACATACACTGAGTTTGAATAAAATAAACAATCTTAAAAAAAACTCACTCCTCCCCAAAAAGTAGTGGCCGCTCATTATAAAAATGAAATACAATTATCTTGTGCAAATTAAACCAAACAAATTTTAACTCTGCTCAGATACGTACAGTGGATATAAAAAGTCTACACACCCCCTGTTAAAATGTCAGGTTTCTGTGATGTAAACAAAAGACAAAGTAGACAAAGATAAATCATTTCAGAACTTTTTCCACCATTAATGTAACCTATAAACTGTACAACTCAGTTGAACAACAAACTGAAATCTTTTAGGTGGAGGGTAGTAAAAATAAAAAACTAAAATAATATGGTTGCATAAGTGTGCACACTCTTAAACTAATCCTTTGTTGAAGAACCTTTTGATTTGATTTCAGCACTTAGTCTTTTTGGGTATGAGTCTATCAGCATGGCACATCTTGACTTGCCAATATTTGCCCACTCTTCCTTGCAAAAGCACTTCAAATCTGTCAGATTGCAAAGGCATCTCCTGTGCACAGTTCTCTTCAGATCACCCCACAGATTTTCGATTGGATTCAGGTCTGGGCTCTGGCTGGGTCATTCCAAAACTTTAATCTTCTTCTGGTGAAGCCATTCCTTTGTTGATTTGGATGTATGCTTTGAGTCGTTGTCATGTTGAAAGATGAAGTTCCTCTTCATGGTCAGCTTTCTAGCAGAAGCCTGAAGGTTTTGTGCCAATATTGACTGGTATTTGGAACTGTACATAATTCCCTCTACCTTGACTAAGGCCCCAGTTCCAGCTGAAGAAAAACAGCCCCAAAGCATGATGCTGTCACCATCATGCTTCACTGTGGGTATGGTGTTCTTTTGGTGATGTGCAGTGTTTTTTTTTGCGCCAAACATATCTTTTGGAATTATGGCCACAAACTTCAACCTTGATTTCATCAGACCATAACACGTTTTCCCACATGCTTTTGGGAGACTTCAGATGTGTTTTTGCAAAATTTAGCCAGGCTTTTTTTTTTTTCTTCGTAAGAAAAGGCTTCTGTTTTGCCACTCTACTCAAAAGCCCAGACATATGAAAAACACAGGAGATTGTTGTCACATGTACCACACAACCAGTACTTGCCAGATATTCCTGCAGCTCATTTAATGTTGCTGTAGGCCTCTTGACAGGCTCCCAGACCAGTTTTCTTCTCGTATTTTCATAAATTTTTGAGGGACGTCCAGTTCTTTGTAATGTCACTGTTGTGCCATATTTTCTCCACTTTCTGATGACTGTCTTCACGGTGTTCCATGGTATATCTAATGCCTTGGAAATTCTTTTGTACCCTTCTCCTGACTGATACCTTTTAACAATGAGATCCCTCTGATGCTTTGAAAGTTCTCTGTGGACCATGGCTTTTACTGTAAGATGCACCTAAGAAAATGTCAGTAAAGACCTACTAGAACAGCTGAACTTTATTTGAGGTTAATCAGAGGCACTTTAAATGATGGCAGGTGTGTACTGACTCCTATTTAACATGATTTTGAATGTGACTGCCTAATTCTGAACACAGCTACATCCCCAGTTATAAGAGGGTGTGCACACTTATGCAACCACATTATTTTAGTTTTTTTATGTTTACTTCCCCCCCTAAAAGATTTCAGTTTGTTTTTCAATTGAGTTGTACAGTTTATAGGTCACATTAAAGGTGGAAAAAGTTCTGAAATTATTTATCTTTATCTAATTTTTGTACATCACAGAAATGTGACATTTTAACAGGGGTGTGTAGACTTTTTATACCCACTGTATCCTACTACTACTAGTAACTACTATATTTTCTACTACCATTGCTACTACTATTGGAGGTACAGACAGAACAATAATATTGAATATTACCTGTCCTGTTATATTAGTGCATTCTTTTTAATTATGAAAGTTTTAATGTGACACATGTGAGCTCACTCAGTCCCAGCACACCTAAAAGAAACTTGATAAAAGCACCCTCAATCTTGTATTGTTAAACTTAATTGCTATAGTGTTTGTCAAATATTGAAATAAGCAGCAGCAGCGAGAGGTGGTGGAGCACATATAGTATATAATGTATGTATTAAATATGATTGAGGACTTGATGTATATGAAGGGCAGTTATCTAATAATAATTATTATTATAAACATTATAATAATTTATTTGGTCATGTTGGGTGCCATTTATTCATTTGATTGTTAATTTAAATATATTTCATGATATTTTTGCACAAGTTTGTTGATTGAATTATTGTTGCACTGCACATTTTTTTAATTTTATTTTAAACCGAAAATGTATAGTATCCAAACAAGCTGGTATCTCAAACTCAGTCTTTATGCCTAAACCTGAGAGTCACTTTGTACCTCATCTGAACCCTTTAATTGGCCATACACTGACCGAAGTCTTGGTGGTTCAGCTGGGCTAGTGTGTGGTCATCTATGCTTGACAGAAATCAATCGTTTGATACACTTCAGTCAAATGGAAATGCAGGAAAACTGCAACTGCAACCAATCATCAGTGTATTTTGACAGCAGAGAGTCTCACTATCAGAAGACATTGGCAGGGAATGGGGGGGGGGGGGGTGGAGATTCCCCCATCCACCTTGTTTATATATGCATAGCTCCAACTGTCCCTGATTTCGAGGGTCTGTTCCACCTTTGGTCCAAAGTTCCTCTGTCCCTCCTTCCTCCTCATCTGTCTCATTTTGGTCTGATCTATATAGTTGTATGTAAAATGCACAATTGATTTGTCAAAAAGTGTTTTACAATGTTAAACCTTTCATCCAGTTTCTAAATTGCTGTATTTGTAAATTTCAAAATCCAGTATAAAGGAATAGTAGTGGTAAACATTTGGTTTTAACCAATCATTTTGTTGTATAATTCTCCTTTAAGGGGGGCCTGACAGGGGTGTTTCCTATGCCTACATTTTTGCTAATGGGTGTCCTTCGTTCCCATCTCAGAAACTTGGGAGGTATGTGTATGCTCAGATTTACCTTTAAGTATGACTGTCAGGAATGGACTGGCCAGCAATGGTGGGACTCACCTGCCTTTTGATCTGCAGTACCAGGGCTGGCCAGCAGGTGCTCCCAGCAATCAGAGACTCAACTTTGCAGCCAGCTAACACTGGAACTGATTATGCTGGGTATTTAAGGGATGGCCAGACCCACAGACTCTGCCTTGGTGTGTGTTTTGTCCTGGGCCCTGTATCTGTCCTGCATCCTGTTTCTGTTCCTTTGCTGACCCTCTGTACTACGCTGCTTGCTACCTGTCCTGATCCCTGGCTTGTGACCCTGACCATCCCTCTGCCTGACCCTCTGTACTACGCTGCTTGCTACCTGTTCTGATCCCTGGCTTGTGACCCTGACCATCCCTCTGCTTGACCCTCTGTACTACGCTGCTTGCTACCTGCTGAACCTGGCCTGTGACCCCGACCATTCTCCGCTTGCTCCCCCTGTACCTACCTGCCCAATTGATATTGACCCGGCCTGCCTGACGACGCTTGCTTGTATGTACTGTTATCTGTGGGTGGTTGGTTTGGTTTGTTTGCACTGTATTATGTTTAGTATTGCACTGCGTTTATGTTTGTATTGTTAGTGTTAATAAAATTATATTGTTTATCCCATATCTGAAGTCTGCGTTTCCCTGCGTCAGTCACACATCTCTGGTCATACCTGGGAGCCCTGACATTACACCAAGGCCAATCCTGACCAGAAGTGGCTGCACAGGGAAGCCATCTTGGTTTGTTGATGGGAAGGATGAATCTGGATGAGGTTGAGTATTTATCTCTGCTAGTGTTTGATGACAGGGAGTATGCTTATCAAACTCTGAAGGAGTATCCCCGGGATGAACTGCTAGAATGTATACGGCTCGCTCATGTTCTAGTAGATCAGGGCACAGAGTTCTCTGAGGTGCAGCCTTTGATTGAGGTTTGTGCAGAGTTGGTTTCATCTGGTTCCCCCGAATCCAGGGATGAATTTTTGCCACCATTTAGTGCAGACCAGGTAGAGTCCCTGGTGTGGTTATTAGAGGATGATGTGGGTTACTTTCTGGAGCGTTATTCCACATGTTCACCACAGACACTAAGAGTTTGTATAACGCAGTGCAGTCATTGACCAGACCAGCTTTGTGTAAGCTCAGCTTTGTTCAACCCCTACTGCAGACATGGACAGACTTGTTGCACCCAGCCTCAGTCAGCTTACAAAAACCCAGTCCTGCTTCTAACTCTTCTCCTGTATTCCCAACAGCTCCTCTAGTTTACAGCCCAGTATACTTGGCTATCTACCGCATGTCAGTACCCTGTTCCCACTCGCTGCACCTATCCTGCCTTTAACCCTGTAAAAAAGCCCTCTGTAGCAACTGCTCCCTCTCCTGTTCCATCCTCCAGTTCTTCTCTGTCTCCAGCTGCTCCATTCGTTTGCAGACCTGTGTTTACTTGCAGTGCTCCAGTAGTTAAAACCAGAAAAAAGCGAAAATTCTTTCCAACCAATACCATCCTGCCAGTATCCAAAACTGGTGAACCTGCCTTCCGTGGTTCAGCCTGAAGCCTCTACTCAGCCGGACGCCGGCATTCAGCCTGATGCCTCTACCCAGCATGATGAACTGATATCCAGCCTGATGATCCTATTAGGCCAGTTGACTCGATGCCCGCTGTTGATCCAGATGATCCGGTACCTGATCCGGTGCCGATCGCTGTCGTGCCAATTGACTCAGAGCCCCATCTGTCGTACCTGGTGACTCGGGTGCCCACTGCCTTGCCAGATGACGCGGTGCCCGCTGGCGAGCCAAATGACCTGATGCCTGGTGACCCAGTGCCCGCTGTCATACCTGGTGACCCGATGCCCGCTGTCGAGCCAGACGATCCAATGCCTGGTGACCCGGTGCCCACTGCCTTGCCAGATGACGCGGTGCCCGCTGGCAAGCCAAATGACCTGATGCCTGGTGACCCAGTGCCCGCTGTCGAGCCAGACAATCCGGTACCTGATGACCCGGTGCCCACTGTCGTGCCTGTTGATTCGGAGCCCACTGCCTTGCCAGATGACGCGGTGCCCGCTGTTGAGCCAAATGACCTGATGCCTGGTGACCCGATGCCCGCTGTCCAGTCAGACGATTCAATGTCTGACCCAGTGCCCGCGGTCATACCAGTTGACTCGGAGCCCACTGCCTTGCCAGATGATGTGGTGCCCGCGGTCGAGCCAAATGACCTGATGCCGGGTGACCCGATGCCCGCTGTCCAGCCAGACGATCCAATGTCTGACCCAGTGCCAGCGGTCATGCCAGTTGACTCGGAGCCCACTGCCGTGCCAGATGACTCGGCGCCCGCCGCTCTGCCTGAGGGCCCGAGACCTGTCGCTCCACCTGGGGGTCCGGCGCCTGCCCGCTCCGCCTGAGGGCCCGAGACCTGTCGCTCCGCCTGGGGGCCCGAGACCTGTCGCTCCACCTGGAGGTCCCCCGGCGCCCGCCGCTCCGCCTGAGGGCCCGAGACCTGTTGCTCCACCTGGGGGTCCGGCGCCCGCCGCTCCGCCTGAGGGCCCGAGACCTGTTGCTCCACCTGGGGGTCCGGCGCCCGCCGCTCCGCCTGAGGGCCCGAGACCTGTCGCCCCATCTGGGGGTCCGGCGCCCGCCGCTCCGCCTGAGGGCCCGAGACCTATCGCTCCGCCTGGGGGCCCGAGACCTGTCGCTCCACCTGGGGGTCCGGCGCCCGCCGCTCCGCCTGAGGGCCCGAGACCTGTCGCTCCGCCCTGGGGGCCCGAGACCTGTCGCTCCACCTGGGGGTCGGCACCCGCCGCTCTGCCTGAGGGCCCGAGACCTGTCGCTCCACCTGGGGGTCCGGCGCCCGGCCGCTCCGCCTGAGGGCCCGAGACCTGTCGCTCCACCTGGGGGTCCGGCGCCCGCCGCTCTCCGCCTGAGGGCCCGAGACCTGTCGCACCACCTGGGGGCCCGATGCCTGTCGCCCCGCCTGGGGGCCCGATGCCTGTCGCCCCGCCTGGGGGGCCCGATGCCTGTCGCCCCGCCTGGGGGCCCGATGCCTGTCGCCCCTCCTGGGGGCCCGGCACCCGCCGCTCCGCCTGGGGGCCCGATGCCGGTCGCCCCACCTGGGGGCCCGATGCCTGTCGCCCCACCTGGGGGCCCGATGCCTGTCGCCCCACCTGGGGCCCGATGCCTGTCGCCCCGCCTGGGGGCCCGATGCCTGTCGCCCCGCCGGGGGCCCCGATGCCTGTCGCCCCGCCTGGGGGCCCGATGCCTGTCGCCCCTCCTGGGGGCCCGGCGCCCGCCGCTCCACCTGGGGGCCCGATGCCGGTCGCCCCACCCGGGGGCCCGGTGCCTGCTGCTCCGCCCGGGGGCCCGGTGCCTGCTGCTCCGCCCGGTGACCCGCTGCCTGCTGCTTCGCCTGGTAATCCGATGTGCCTCTGCCCGGAGTCCAGCCCGATGTGCCTCTGCCCGGAGTCCAGCCGATGTGCCTCTGCCCGGAGTCCAGCCCGATGTGCCTCTGCCCGGAGTCCAGCCCGATGTGCCTCTGCCCGGAGTCCAGCCCGATGTGCCTCTGCCCGGAGTCCAGCCCGATGTGCCTCTGCCCGGGGTCCAGCCCGATGTGCCTCTGCCCGCAGTCCAAGCCCGATGTGCCTCTGCCCGGAGTCCAGCCCGATGTGCCTCTGCCCGGAGTCCAGCCCGATGTGCCTCTGCCCGGAGTCCAGCCCGATGTGCCTCTGCCCGGAGTCCAGCCCGATGTGCCTCTGCCCGGAGTCCAGCAGCCGATGTGCCTCTGCCCGGAGTCCAGCCCGATGTGCCTCTGCCCGGAGTCCAGCCCGATGTGCCTCTGCCCGGAGTCCAGCCCGATGTGCCTCTGCCCGGTGTGCCTCTGCCCGGAGTCCAGCCCGGTGTGCCTCTGCCCGGAGTCCAGCCCGATGTGCCTCTGCCCGGAGTCCAGCCCGATGTGCCTCTGCCCGGTGTGCCTCTGCCCGGAGTCCAGCCCGATGTGCCTCTGCCCGGAGTCCAGCCCGATGTGCCTCTGCCTGGTGTGCCTCTGCCCGGAGTCCAGCCGATGTGCCTCTGCCCGGAGTCCAGCCCGATGTGCCTCTGCCCGGTGTGCCTCTGCCCGGAGTCCAGCCCGGTGTGCCTCTGCCCAGATGTGCTTCTGCCCCGGAGTCCAGCCCAATGTGCCTCTGCCCGGTGTCCAGCCCGATGTGCCTCTGCCTGGTGTACCGCTGCCCGGAGTCCTGCCAGGTGTGCCAGTCTTTGATATCCCGCCAGTTACCAGACCCGGGCGGTGGAACATTTTTCCCAGCTAGGACTGTTTGGAGCGTCCTGAGGCCGCTCCTTGAGGGGGGGGTACTGTCAGGAATGGACTGGCCAGCAATGGTGGGACTCACCTGCCTTTTGATCTGCAGTACCAGGGCTGGCCAGCGGGTGCTCCCAGCATCAGAGACTCAACTTTGCAGCCAGCTAACACCTGGAACTGATTATGCTGGGGTATTTAAGGGATGGCCAGACCCACAGACTCTGCCTTGGTGTGTGTTTTGTCCCTGGGCCCTGTATCTGTCCCTGCATCCTGTTTCTGTTCCTTTGCTGACCCCTCTGTACTACGCTGCTTGCTACCTGTCCTGATCCTTGGCTTGTGACCCTGACCATCCCTCTGCCTGACCCTCTGTACTACGCTGCTTGCTACCTGTTCTGATCCCTGGCTTGTGACCCTGACCATCCCTCTGCTTGACCCTCTGTACTACGCTGCTTGCTACCTGCTGAACCTGGCCTGTGACCCCGACCATTCTCCGCTTGCTCCCCCTGTTTATATTGTTTATCCCATATCTGAAGTCTGCGTTTCCCTGCGTCAGTCACACATCTCTGGTCATACCTGGGAGCCCTGACAATGACTATAGAAATTTTTTTTTTCATTGTTGATAGAGAAAGGGAGGATTTTAACACTCGGCAGTTTTTTTTTTTACCATCTGTGTCCCAGAGGGGAGGGTTCCCTTCACTTCCTGTCCCATAGCCAAAACAGGAAGTGAGGGAAATGCTTAAAAGTGAAGGAATCCTGGGGGCAGGGGGATTGGCACCAGAGTCACAGAGTCACAACAACTAGTGTCCCTATTGGAAGATTTTTTCTCTATTAATGTTTTGATGTCAATCCAAAATTTAGGATTTTCTTTTACTTTCACTTTCAATGTTAGTCACTTAAATTACCTTGTCAGTAATCAACCCCAGAGTTTTAGATAGGAGCACTTTTTTTGGCTTTCTAAAAAACTCACTAATTGGAGTTGGGTAATAGGAGTACGCCCAAGAGGAATGAGCAGCAAAACTTTGCCAGTGTCCAATCATCTGAAGGTAGCAGCCTATATCCAAGGATCTATGAATATCCAGCCTGTGTGCCATACTGCATGCCAAGATAAAGAATTTACAGGCAAATTAAAATTCCATTTTTTGTGAATTGGAGTCATTCTTTGATATTAAGGGTAATTAGGTCAGTGGTAAAAGCATGTGTAGATAGTTACTGTTCCTGTTATAGTTACTGAAGCTCAGGTTTCATAGTTAATTGACACAGTAGTTGTTCAGCGGTTCAGGTCAGGATTTTATCCTGTTCACAACTGGTGACATGTACTGTTTAGAAACGGTTCCTATAGAACTCAATAACCTGTAATCTGCACCTAAACTGGACCACACTGCTCAGAAAACAGACAGGACTCTTTTTTTAATCTGCACTGAATCCGCACTGGCAGTGCATGTGACATATGTGAACAAGCATTATAGGAATCTATGTTATTTTGCATGCCATGTGGATTGGATGTGGTTCAAACTGCATTCAATCCGCATTTATGTGAACCAACACTCACTCTATGGACAAAGAATGTCTCAACCAGCATGGAGTGCTATCTTTTGAGTGGAGCACATCTGTCTCCTGACAGGAGCTCTAAACTATGCCCCAAGTCCTTCATTATAAAGGCTGTGTGCACCTGAACTAACAGTTGGGTGGTCTCCTGGAAGATCTGGACACTAAGTTGGAGATTTCTTCCCTCCCAAAACTCTTCGAAATCTCCAGACTCCAGAGCCCAGTCCAGGAATACCAAAACTTAAAGAATGTCCAAAAACATCTTTCTCTGTTAGAATCAATATTCCGGAGCGCCGTACTCTGCAAACCCTGCTTCATATCTAATTCCCAGTGGAATGATATAATATATTCCTTCTCTCTCCCTGTTTAAGGTACAAAAATATTTGCACTAAATTACTGGCTCATTTTGATGTGTGTTGGGAAATCTCTGCAGAGGCAAGGATTTCAGTAAAAAGGCTTTCACATTGTTATTGTTGGTTATTAATATTTATATCCCCCTAGAATGTTGTCATCCAAACGTGTCCTTAGCCTCACCAACCATTCATGCTTTGTGTCTGTCAGTGCAGGCAGTGTCAAAACAGTAATTACTCCCCCCGTCCATCTGTGAGGTTTCTTGAAAAACATGGGAAACACAGTCCTAGACCATTGTAATGGTATACATGTAGAAAAAAATTTAAGTACACAGTAAAAGGTTTGTCATAGCTGTAGTGCAGTCTGTGAAGAGTTATATGCAGCGTTGCCTTGGCTTCTAGGACTATTAGGTGAAAGGCTTCTAGGACTATTATGTGAAATATCCACTTTAATATTATTTATGTGAACAAGATTTCCAAGAACTATTACATTTCTCTCTTCAAAAACACAGGGTTTGCCATCTCACAAACCTTCTAGCTAACTGTGGAAGTTCATCCTGTCATTTGAATGGTTGGTATTGCAGCCACAAAAATAAAATGGTTTATGTAGGTTGTACTCACTCTAAATACTCAATTTAGACAGCAAATAACAATCATTTATGGCAGCTTTTTATCTTGAGAAAACCAAGAAGGGGTGACCTTTATACGTTTCTTAACCCCCCTGGCGGTATTCCCGAATGTAGCTCGGGGTAAACTTTCAGTACCAGAAGTGGTAACTCCGAGCTTACCCTGTAGCGTTGCTCTGGGATCCCTCCAGCACTTACCTTGTCCTGCGCTCCTGCAATGTCCCCCCTGCAGCGTTCTCCGGGCCATGTCCTCCGGCCGATGCCGGCATCCATCTTCTCTGAGCGTCGGGACGTACGGGGGACGGAAACTGACGGGAATTTCAAAAATGTAAAAAGTGTGAAATTTCACTCAATACACTAAAAATCTGATAGTATTTACATTTACTGTATCAAAGCATTTCACATACATTTTGTCCCTAGTGCTTTGTCCTGTGCCCTGCCTGTATGTTTACTGCCCTTTTTGCCTGGAAACTGAGCAACGTCCATGGCGTCCAAAAAGTGTCCGTTTAGGTCAAAAGCGGTGTTACACCAGCTAGAGAACAGCGATAGTAAATTAGAACCACTTGCAGAATTGAGTGATAATGATTCGTGGGGAAATTCAGACACTGAAAATGATTTTGTGACTAAGCTCAGTGATGTGCAAACTTGGCGCTCTAGTTCAAATTTCATTGTTTTTGGTTTGATTACATTATTGAATTAAATTTATTATTATTATATTATTATTTTTTATGATTATTTATTATATTATAATTTATGATTTCGTGTTTCAAATTTTAGCACACCCGGGAAGTTTACTAGACTCTTGTTCGGGACAGAGATTTCAGTGAGTTATTCCTAAAAATTACAGGCCTACAATAAAAAGACAACATACAGTGGGGCAAAAAAAGTATTTAGTCAGCCACCAATTGTGCAGGTTCTCCCACTTAAAAAGATGAGAGAGGCCTGTAATTGGCATCATAGGTAGACCTCAACTATGAGAGACAAAATGAGAAAACAAATCCAGACAATCACATTGGCTGAGCTGGAAATAAGTTATTTGCAAACTATGGTGGAAAATAAGTATTTGGTCAATATGAAAAGTTCATCTCAATACTTTGTTATATATCCTTTTGTTGGCAATGACAGAGGTCAAACGTTTCCTGTAAGTCCTCACAAGGTTGGCACACACTGTTGCTGGTATGTTGGCCCATCCTCCATGCAGATCTCCTCTAGAGCAGTGATGTTTTGGGGCTGTCGCTGGGCAACACGGACTTTCAACTCCCTCCAAAGGTTTTCTATGGGGTTGAGATCTGGAGACTGGCTAGGCCACTCCAGGACCTTGAAATGCTTCTTACGAAGCCACTCCTTCATTGCCCGGGGCGGTATGTTTGGGATCATTGTCATGTTGGAAGACCCAGCCACGTTTCATCTTCAATGCCCTTGCTGATGGAAGGAGGTTTGCACT